TTCACAATCATGGCTGCTCTTTGCTGGTGGCACATACGGGGCCAGACCAGATCAGGGGGCAGAATCTGAAAGTGAGACACACCTCTGTCAGGGATCAAGGGGTTGGGAGTGGCTGCCCTTGCAGCTAGGAGTTCTGGAGAGGGCTATGCACCTGGGATGGGGGAGGGGAGGGAGGTCAGGGTGAAGGCATTCTGGGGTTAGGGTAATGATCTGAGGCAACACCCTGCTCTGAGAAGACCTTGTTAACCAGTGAGGGAGAGAAAGAACTCATGTGACAAGACAGAGACCCAGTTTCTGCAGCCAGGTCTCATTCTGAGGGCTTGGCTCCAAGGACTAAGCTAAGCGCCTAATTACTCCATATAAGTGCAGGGCAGGACAGCAACAAGCATGACTTGAGACTGAAAATCTGCATTTCTGCCTGAGGGTCTCTGAAATTCACTGTCTGCACTTCAGCAGGAACCCTGGCTGGAGCTGAGCAGTTCAGGGAGGAAGCCAGACAAGATTCTTTTGCCAGAGCCCTGGACCCACAGCAGCCCTAGAGCCCAGTCGCACACCACGGTCCCTTGGAGTCGAATTCCAAGATCCCTGTGGACCACAGCATGGCCCAGTGGGGTAGTCTCTGTTTCTGCTCCGTATTAGGCAGCCTCAAATAGAAGGCAACCAGAGGGCTCTGGCCCAGGGGCCAAAGGCATCAGAGGGATACGTGTGGGGTCCTGGGCGTCACCCCTGCCTTCTCCATTTCCCCTTGAACTTTCCACGTGTCAGCATATGGCAGGCTGCCCAGGCCAACTTCCTCGTCTGTCCCAATCCTTGATCCACTTACACACAAAACCAGGTCAGAAGGGGGTCATCTGGGTACAAAATAACCGGCTCCTCTACTGTGCTGGCTGTGTTTGCCACCCAAACAGGACAAAGTGCAGCCTCCTGACCACAGGGACAGCCCTGCAGCATGGATCTGCTACACTTTGAAGTATAGACTGCTTTCAGGTTAACGTGGCCACTGTCAACCTTCCCCAGGGAGGTGGGGTCCTAGGTGGTCTGCCCCCGGTAAGAGGGGCTTGTTTAGACCACAGGTGTAGGGACCTCAGCCCTTGACCCCCTTTGCAGCTTTGCCTTAAGCTTTAGTTTGATAACCAAGGGATTCTTGTGCAGAAGGTCTTGTAAACAAGTATTTTGAGAGGAAACTGTGACGCACGTAGTATAAAGGGTTCTCTGAGACTCAGTTAAGGCCATTTTATCTCGTTAAACATTCACGTGTGCAGACACACACCCTAATAAATACCAAGTTAAATGCTATCTCTTAAAAAAAAACACTCTTTTTAAATATCTACTTACACTTTCCAGCTACATGTTTTCCAATCCCAGCCAATAGGGTTGTGGAGACGTCACCCAGGGCAGGACTGAGGGACTTCAGGCCAGATGATTCCAGAGGTCCTGTCATTTAACCAGATGCCTTGCTCCCAAGGGTCCCTTCAAGGAACACTTTTATGAGAATAAAGGGAAAGATCCATTCCGTTTCCAATTAGCCGGCAATTAGGTACTGTTTGGTTTTATTAGATATTAGGAATTATTGATTCAAGTCAGAAGTAGCACAACCACTGCCATATTAGAAAGATTAGCACCGAAGAGCCCACACGGGGACCTGACTGGAGGCCTCTCACCGATGGCTCCTGGTACCACTGACCTAATTCTGCCCTCAGACAGGCCCACCCCAAACTTTGTGCCTTGTAAAGGGTCCCTAGAGAAAAGACCCACTGCCAAAGCCATCCCTTCTGCTACCTAACTCTTCTGTCTGCTAGAAGACGGCAACAACATTTCCAGAAGGGATGGGGCGTATCTTAGCCATTCTCAAGGAAGCAAAGATGGGTCTCAGTCCCGTTTAACATTTGGGAGGCAGAACCCAAATCTCAGTAAGGAAAGACCTTCTCTCTTCAACTATTCACAGCAAATACTGAAGGTAACGAAAAAATAATGAGTAAACCACCCTTTATACCAGAGGCTTGCAAACTCACTTGCCCACCTGGACCAGGACCAGGCAATGGAATATTCAGATGAAGAGAAGCAGAGGAGTGGCAGAGGTGGGCGGGAGGGATGCAGGACACTGGAGAGGACAATATGCCCCATCCTTCAATATGCCCCTTCATCCAGCTTTTTTACATGCAATCTCCCAAGTTTCAAATGTTGGCAACAAATACAGAAGATTTTTAAACACAGCAGAGGCTACTGTCTTGTGACTTCTGCCTTAGACAATTTCCTAACTTAAAAAAAGCTCCCGCCCCCCATCAAATAACAAAACTTCAACCAAATTATTACAAAGAAATTAACAGAGAAATAGAAAAATATAGCAGCTTCAAAAATACCAGTCTTGGGGCTTCCCTGGTGGCGCAGTGGTTAAGAATCCGCCTGCCAACGCAGGGGACACAGGTTCGATCACTGGTCTGGGGAGATCCCACATGCCGCGGAGCAACTAAGCCCGGGTGTCACAGCTACTTAGCCTGCGCTCTAGAGCCCACAAGCCACAACTACTGGAGCCCGCGTGCCTAGAGCCCGTGCTCCACAACGAGAAGCCACCGCAATGAGAAGCCCGCGCACTGCAACGAAGAGCAGCCCCCGCTCGTGGCAACTAGAGAAAGCCCGCGCGCAGCAACGAAGACCCAATGCAGCCAAAAATAAATAAATAAAACAAATAAATTTATTAAAAAAAATACCAGTCTCCCCATTTTATTTTTTTATTCTTATTTTTTAACGTTTTCATCTTTAATGAAATGACTTTGGAAATAACATTCATTTCCATGAAACCAATACTACAGTTTTTGGAGTCACAGTAAGATACACAGAATTATATCTGTAATTAATATGAATGCCAACATTTCAAGCAGTAATTTCTGTTATATGGCAAACAAAATCAAGAAAGCAACCGTCAAACAAGAGACCCATAGCTTCAGACAAGTCAAATCCCAGGATAGCGTATGAGGACAGCTGCTGCTTCAGCGAAGGGTTTCTGGCGAAACCAATGATGAGGCTGCCAAAGGCTGTTCCCATAACAGCACCAGAATCAGCCACTCCTACTGCTGTAGCACCTGCACCAATAAAATTGGCTGTAGTGTCAATGTCTCTGCTGATTGCACTGGTCTAAAACTCCCTTTGGATTAACTGAGACACACCATTCTGGGCCCCATTAAGTACTGAAGAGCCCTCTCCAGCCCTAGCCTCTGGTCGAGATAACACTGATGCAGAAATTGGTCTGTATGCAACTCTGGATCCAACTCGGATCAGAGCAGGGTGCAGGCAAGCTTGCGCAGGCGAACATCTTGCACTCTTCAGGGCAGCTAGAGGAATTGGTTGACAGGCAACGTGGGATCCTCTCCTGCTTCCTCTCTTCCCGGGAGGTGGCCGTAGCCATGGTGGTAGAGGTCCAAGGAATGGGGCTCCCCATTTTAAAACAAAGTCAACAGCAATTCATTTTGTGTAGGAGGAAGTCAGCTGTATCCTTCCTGTCATCCTACCTGCCCTCACACTCATATGGACCAGGCTCCCTATTATAGAGAATAAATTGAGGCATAGAGCAGGGAGGGCCCCTCCTTAGCATCAAAGAGCTCCTCGGCCACAGAAGGTTTCCCATTCCCCATTTGGTCGCCATCACAGCAAGAACTGAAATAACTAATACAAGTTACGTAGCATCTTGCAGAGTGCTGGGCACAACTGCATGTCTGCTGAGTGAATCATGCGTGAATGAATGAATTTAGCTGCTTCCCTTAGACAGTGCTTTCTACTTGGGAAAATCAGGAGCTGTGCTTGCCATTCCAAAGACTGGATTTCTCCAGGGGCAGGTGAGAAAGACAAGGGAGCTAATAGTGTTCCCTCTCTGAGTGAACAGTCAGATGGTCTTCCCGGCTTTTAAGGGAACATCATTGACCCTGACTGACTCATAAACAGAGAAAAAAGGATTGAGGAACTCGGCACCTCTGGGCTTTGTCTGCTTTGACCTTGGGTTAGGACCTGAGATCAAGAACAAATCGTATGCTCTTGTAATCCATACCCCTAACTTTCCTTCTGTTTGGTGCTATGGTTAGTCCCTAGCATCTTTATTCTCAAAGAACGCGGCACAGAAAGTTATTGTCAACACGAGGAAGAAACATGGTCCTTTCTTCTCAAGAATGTGCAAAGCTATTTACGCCCTGGGCCTGCAGCACAGGGACCACACTGGCTCTGGCCCTAAAGGCCCCCAGGGTGGCAATGCATCTTTATTCTGCCTTGCTCTGGGAGCCAAAGCCCCAGGAAGCCCAACTCTCTCTGCTCTGGGGGACTCTTCCTAGAATTTGACAGGGAGGAGATTGTCTCATCTACAGTTTCTCAAAGTTGCCGTGATTGGCATTTTGAATGGAACAATTTTGTGCTGCTGGAGATTGCCCTGCACATTGTGAGATACCCACTAAATTCCAGGGGTGTCCCACAGTTGCAGCGACTCTCCCAGCACACCACACATGCACACACACACACACACAAATTTCCAATACTGCCTGGAGCGGGTAGCCTGGCCCCTGGCTGAGAGCCACTAGGCTGGTAGAGCCCTTACGTGTTTGAGAAACAGAAGACCCAAAGGTTGAGTGACAGGTCCAAGGCTCCCCTCTCAGATCTGATGATTTCTAGTCCAGCTGCTCTTGAAATGATGGATACTCATGCAAACAATCATGGGATGCCACAGCACCGCAGAACCTCAAAGCAGACAGCCAGCTGTCTCAATGGCATAGAGAAACCACGGCACAGAGAGAAAAAATAACCCCACAGTGACCAGAGAGTGAGCAAATGCGAGGGGGGAGGCAGATTCCCGGAGGATACACTTTCTTAGGTCCTGCTTAGCTTAGTAAGTCCCGCTGCTTGGCTGGTAACAGGTCAATGCAACAGCCCCCTGGAAGGTGGGGCTTTGTAGCATCCCAAGGTCAACATGGAGGCAGGGTAGCTCAGTGAGAGCCAGCCCCCTGTCTGTAGGTTAGAGCCGGGGCAGCCAGGGGTCCAGCCTTCATCTCAAGTCTCCGGCGGGCTCAGCGGGAGTGGAGGCAACTCTATCACAGGCTACTGACCCCTTTCTGGGATCCTCGCAATCTCCATTGGGATATACGACTGTCAGTGCCAGCTCCTCCTCAGGGTCCTGGAAGTTACCTGGAACACAAGAGAAGGAATCACCCAATGAGAAGATAAAGTTTATGAGTGGGTAAGCTGGGAATGAAAGGGAAGGAGTTGGCCCCAGTGACTCTCTACTTTAAAAACACAACAAAATATGTAGCGGAAACCTTTAAAATGTACATACCCTTTGACCCAGCAATTCCACTTCTAGGATTTTATCCTAAGGAAATAATTAGGAATAATTAGTGGAACTGCTCCAGCCATCTTGCTACCAGTATACGGATGAAACAGCACTGAGGATGGCCCAGCAAAGAGAAGGAAAAAACCTGGGTCCTTGAAAGTGTTGCTGGACCCCTAAATCAACCAGCCCTGAAACTGACTCCACCTCTAGACTGTCTTTTAGGTGAGATGATGAATTCCTCGTCTGCTTCTGCTAGTTTGAGTCATGGCTTCTTTACCTATAGCTGAGAGCATCCTAACTGATTCGATATCTGACAAAGGGATTGGCTGAGTAAACTGTGGCTCAGTCACATTATGGGATTCAGGCATTAAAAATGATGTATAGGGCTTCCCTGGTGGAGAAGTGGTTAAGAATCCGCTTACCAATGCAGGGGACATGGGTTTGATCCCTGGTCTGGGAAGGTCCCACATGCCGTGGAGCAACTAAGCCCATGGGCCACAACTGCTGAGTCTGCGCTCTAGAGACCGCAAGCCACAACTACTGAAGCCCACGTGCCGAGAGTCCGTGCTCCGCAACAAGAGAAGCCACCGCAATGAGAAGCCCGTGTACTGCAATGAAGAGTAGGCCCCGCTCGCCACAACTAGAGAAAGCCCGCACACAGCAATGAAGACCCAACGTAGCCAAAAATAAATAAATAAATATGATGTATAAAATTCCATAGGACTAAACACACACACACACACACACAAGTAAAATTCAGGAAATCTGAATAAGGTCTGTGGATTGTTTCAATGTCAACACCCAGTCTGTGATATTATCCTATAGTTTTGCGACATGTACATGGGGGAAAACTGGGCAAGATGTACACAGGATCTCTTAATGGGATTTCTTACAACTGCATGGGAATCTACAATTACCTCAAAAAAGAAAAAGATGCAAGATGTTGACATATACTTATCACTGTGGAATACTGCACAATCACAGTATGTTATTGATAAAGAAAGCAGATTCTAAAACAGTGTATGTAAATGTATGTATGTATAATCTGCTATTTATTATGTATATTATAAATGTTTATGTATAGTCTGCACACGCAATTTGCATTTAATACATTCACTTCTACATGAGACTAAACAATTCGGTATATGCTACAGAGAGAGGTGATCAAAGAGTTACGTAAAGTTGTTTATGGGGACTTCCCTGGTGACACAGTGGTTAAGAATCTGCCTGCCAATGCAGGGGACACAGGTTCGAGCCCGGGTCCGGGATGATCCCACATGCCGCAGAGCAACTAAGCCCCTGAGTCACAGCTACTGAGCTTGTGGTCACAACTACTGAAGCCCACGTGCCCTAGAGCCTGAGCTCTGCAACAAGAAAAGCCACCGCTATGAGAAGCCTGAGCACCGCAATGAAGAGTAGCCCCTGCTCGCCGCTACTAGAGAAAGCCCAAGCACAGCAAAGAAGACCCAATGCAGCCAAAAAAAAAAGAAAAAAAATGTTTATGATTCCTTTGCTTTTTTTCCCCTTTAGTTTCCAGATACATCCAAAATGATGATGGAGAGGTTGAAGTTAACATTTTTGCAATTAAATATATTAAATACGTGATGCATTTTGCAGATGAGTTATATATATATACAGAAGAGAATTTATTAATATTTAAGTAGTACAAGGCAATATAAATAGATAGCTAGACAGAGAGACAGACAGAATGGTCTACCCAAATTATAGTTACCTCTGAGTGGGGGAATTAAATGAACGATTTTTAATATTTGTGTTTCTTCTTTTGTATTTTTTGAGCTTTCAATTGTGTAGACAGAATTCTAAGACAGCCCCCAAGATTCCCATTCCTTGGTGTACTTATCCTGCATAATCCCCTCCTTTGAGTGTGGGTGGGGCCTGTGATTCTGAGGAGGTAGCCATGCCGCGGATTTGGGTATGTGACGAAGGTGATGGGGAGTCACTCCTGTGATTATGTTATGCTATAGGAGGCTGGAGATTCTCCTGCGGATGGAAGGAGCAGCTGCTGTGTAGTGAGTGAGCCTGGGAGAGGAGACAGCTTCAGGGCCTCTTGGAGGTGACAGCGAGCAAGGTGGGGACCTCAGTGCTCCAGCAGGGTGCAGTCCCCCCCTAGGTGGGCTCTGCCTCCGGTCTCTCGCTGCTCCTGCAGTCCAGTCACGTCGCTATACACCCTAATCAGCGCACACCCCTGCTCAGAAGTCGCCAGGGCTCCCTATTCCTGAAAGACTTGGGCCCAGGGCCCTGATGTGGCTCCAACTGTCCTTTTCAGCCTTGGCCCTCACCAGTCTCATTCTGCACCTCACCCCCAGGGCACTGTTTTCTGAGCTTGACATCATGCTGTCAAGCCTTTGTTCATGGTGTTCCCTCTCCAAATCTTCCCATTTCTAAGAAAATCCCCCAACCTCCAGCTCAAAAGTCACTTTTTAAACTCCCTGGATCCTCAGGGGAGACAATGCGTTTGGCTCCAGGTGCCCCATCACCTACGTCTGGCAACTGTCTTCCAGCCCCGCCCACAACCCCTTCCCTAGGCAGAGACTCCTGGGGCGAGAGCCCCGCTGACCCAGTCTGAGTGCCGGCTGCCTGGGGGCCAAGGCACCTCACGTTGCTCATCGCCACGCCCTGCACAAGGCAACGGCTTCGCCGATGGTGGGCCACTCCATCCCTATGGTCCCCTGTGTGCACGTGACCGTAACCCCAAGCCCCTGTCAGGGTCCAGGAAGCCAGGAAGGCGACACACTCACCCTGAGCTGGGTCACTGGGGGAAGTGGCATCTGGGTCCTTCCCTCGGCTCCAGGGACCCCAGGAAAAGCATGCCAGCAGTCCTGGGAGGCCGGGTCTCTCCCACGCTCCTTCTGCTAGAAAGAACACAAGGTCCAAGAGGCAGTGGGGTCAGATGGGGCTTGACACGACTGAGAGACTTTCTGTTCAGCCAACCAAGAGCTTCAACTGTCAACTGCCCTAGTTTTAACTGCCTGATTAAAAAAAAAAGATTCTGATTTGCAAAAGGGGGTAGGTTTTTGAGCTTTAAAAAAAAAAACCAAAAAGAAAGACTGCTTTTATATACCTATTACCTAATTTCATCTTCGCAAAAACTCTATGTAGGTACCACGTTGGAGAAACTACAGTAACAAAAATGATATGAAATTAATTATAATTACATAGCACCAAAGAAAAAACTCAAGAAGCAGTAATTGCCCCCCTACCCCCGGATTTGTAGTTCAAACTATTTTTTAAATTTTATTGAAGTTTAGTTGATTTACGATGTTGTGTTAATTTCGGCTGTACAGCACAGTCATTCAGTCATACATATATATACTTTTTTCATATTCTTTTCCATTCTGGTTTTTCACAGGAAACTGAATATAGTTCTCTGTGCTATACAGTAGGACCTTGGTGTTTATCCATCCTATATACAGTAGCTTGCATCTGCTAATCCCAAACTCCCAATCCTTCCCTCCCCCACCCCTCCTCCTCCTTGGCAACCATAAGTCTGTTCTCTGTGTCTGAGAGTTTGTTTCTGTTTTGTAGGTATGTTCATTTGTGTCGCATTTAGGATTCCACATATAAGTGATAACATATGGTATTTGTCTTTCTCTTTCTGACTTACTTCACTTAGTATGATAATCTCTAGTTGCATCCACGTTGCTGCAAATGGCATTATTTCATTCTTTTTATGGCTGAGTAATATTCCATTGTGTGTGTGTATATATATATATATATATATATATATACACACATACACACACACAATGTGATATATATATATATCACATCTTTATCCATTCATCTATCAATGGACATTTAGGTTTTTTCCATGTCTTGGCTATTGTACATAGTGCTGCTATGAACATAGAGGTGCGTGTATCTTTTCGAATTATAGTTTTGTCTGGGTATACACCCAGGAGTGGAATTGCTGGATCATAGGGCGACTCTACTTTTATTTTTTTGAGGAACTCCATACTGTTTTCCATCATCGCTGCACCAATTTACATTCCCACCAACAGTATAGAGGGCTCCCTTTTCTCCATACCCTCTTCAACATTTATTATTTGTAGACTTTTTTGCGGGGGGGCCACGCAGCATGTGGGATCTTAGTTCCCCTACCAGGGTTCAAACCCGCGCCCCCTGCATTGGAAGTGCGGCATCTTAACCACTGGACTGCCAGGGAAGTCCCTATTATTTGTAGATTTTTTAATGATGGCCATTCAACTATTCTTGAAATGGCCATCAAACTATTTCTTAATAGAAATAGAATTAATCTTTTTTTGATAATCACACACAAAACAATTATATGTTGATTCGAGTTTCCTTATTATAGTACCACCTCAGTTATCTGGGGATTACTTGAGATCCCTAACCATCTGGAATAAGGTCAACTGGAACAAAGTTTTAAAAAAGGACTCCAGAGAGCCAAGACACAGAAAATCCTTTCTCGTAATTCTTTACTTGGGGCCAATTTACTCTTAATCTGTACCCAATTCTAAAAAGATTGGGTCCTTGTTTTTCAACCAAAATGCATCTGAATTAAGCATAAACTGGGTAAAAGAGCACTACCAAGAGGCAGGCAACCTAAAAGTATAAGAACAGCCATCAGACAGTGAGGAAAGAGACTGGAAAGCTCCGCAAGCACTAGCAAAACCTCAGCAGCATGAATCCATGGCGTAACCCACCGCAAAAGGCTGGAAGAAATTACTGGACAATGAGTTATAATTACACCCGTGACCTTTAGTCATTAATGAAAGGTTTCATGTTCAGTATGTTTTGATAAAAGTACAATCGACTTTAACACAATATATAGAATGATTCCCTTGCAAAATGTTAAAAATTTGAAATGTTAGTGTTTAAAAAGAGGCAAGGATTCTGCATGCCATGCAGGGTGTCAGGAAATGGGAATACAGTGGTGATTAAGCTCACAAGGGAAAGTGACAAAACCACGCAGAAGCAGGTTCGGGTTTCATTTGTGAATTGCAAATGGAGTGGGCGGGTCAGGGAAGGCTTTCTGGAGGAGGAAGTCCAGTCCTGAATGGTGAGATGGGATTGGTCAGGAAAAGGAGGATGGAAGAAAAGGCTTTTCTCTCCGAGGCAACTGCAATGTAAAAAAAGTTTAGGAGCCCAGAGCAAGCTTGGCTCTGAGGAATTAAAAGTTGTTCCCTGGGGGTGGGGGATGGGGGGGTGGGATGAACTGGTAGACTGGGACTGACATGTATACACTAATATGTATAAAATGGATAACTAATAAGAACCTGCTGTATAAAATAATAAATAAAATAAAATTCAAAAAAAAAAAAGTTGTTCCCTGGGAATAAGAGATGTCTAAGAGACAAAGGGCTCAGAGAATTTCTAGGCACAGGCTCATTAGGGGACAGAAAATTTTCCCCATGGGGCCAGGTCAGCAAAGGTGCCGGCAGCAACAACCCGAATGACTATCCACCTCAGGATGTTCTCCGTGTCTTTCAGAATGCTGGTCCTTGAGTTTCAAATTTAGCTGGCTTCCTCACAGACTCAACAGAAGAGTTGTGGGAAGGGGAGGGGAAGGTTAGGGCAGGCTCCACAGCTGAGAGGAATGGTCTTCACCTAGGCAGGCCACGCTGGCAGGTAAGTCTGTGACATTTGTGACATCAGAGGTACCAGGTCTCCTTGCAGGAAAAGCCCCACCCCCGACCCCTGTAAGTTTGGCATCACCCAGTTGCTGAGTTAACACACCAATGCCCAGGGAGGCGGAACACAGCCTCTGTCGTCATTAACTCTTTAGCAAGAAGGTTGGCAGAGGCTGGAAAGCTTGGAGGGCGGCAGGTGCTGGAGAGGAGTGGGGGGAAGGAAGCTAGAAGCTAGAAGCTAAATCACTCCGGCATTTCACAGCTTTTGCCAGATCCAGCTGTACTTAACATCCATATTTTAATCTCAGGGCACTGGAAACCTTCTGTAAAACCCTGTGTACCCGGATGGACGAGATTCAGACCCTTTTGCTGATGGCAGCAGTCACTGGGGCTGGCAGAAGACCCGTACTCCCCTCCCCACACTTCAGGAGAGTGGGGAGGGAAGCGAGGGAGACACTGCAGTGGGTAGCCAAGAAGGACTGGTAAACTCTAGGCCCTCAGTCCCTCACATCCTTTCTCCCCTCACCTCCAAGTCCCCAGCATTTATTCCTTGCCTTCTTTTGACCCCGCGGCGTTTCACCGTCGCGTCTCTAGCGCATCCCTAGCTGTGCGCGTCCTAGAAGCTCCTGTCACCGGATATCCCCCTAGTCCCAATTTTGTCCTCCTCCCACCTTGAAACTGGTGCATCCCAAGGCTTTCCCGTCTCCTCCTCCCCTCCCCCCCCAATCCCAGATCTTTGCCCAGCTCAGTCCAGCCCTCTTTCCACCAACCTCCCCTGCCTTCTGCTTGCCTCCTCGGCTTTCCTAAGCACTCAGAATCCCATGCACTCAGGATCCACCCGGGACAGACTCGGCCCGTTGCCCAGGGCCCGCTCCGCCCTACCTGGGAGGCCTAGTGCTAGGCACCTCCTCTCTCCTGGCCTCAGTTTACCTCGGTGTACCATGAGGGGGGCGCTGGCCAAAAAAGCTGGCCTTCCCCCAGCCGCCGCCCGCCCACGCCGTCCGGGACCTAGAGCCCACTCACCTGGTCGCAAGCGCCCGGCGGCTTGCAGGGCCCTGCAGGCGGCCGCCTGAACAGTCAAGTTGGAAGCCGGGTGGCCGGGGCAGTAGGCGGCCGCCTGCACCGGGCCTCCAGCCTGGCGGCCGAACACCGTGCGCAGCAGCGCCTCCAGTAGCCGCAGCTCCGGAGCCACCACGTCCACGGGCTCCGCCTCGGCCACCAGCACCCCGACCAACGCCGCGCCGGGCCGCCGCCGGCTGCGCACGTCCCGCAGCATCTCCCGCAGGTGGCGCCGCGGCTCCCGGGCTGCCAGCGATGACGCGCGGCACAGCACGAAGACCAGCGGTGAGCGGATGGCGCGCGCCCGGGTCGCGGGCACCTTCTGCGCCCCCGGCGCCCCGGGCCCCGCGCCTTCGGCCGCCTCGCCGCTCGGCTTGCCCGCGGCTTGCTGGGGCGGGAACACCGCCCGGGCGAAGTCCCACAGCAGCGCGCGGCTCTGCTCGCGCTCCCACAGTTCGCCCACCAGCAACACCTGCCCGCAGCCGCCCGCCGCCTCCACCAGCGCCTGGAAGGGCGGCTCAGCCGGGCGCGCGGGCCGAGCAGCCAGCGCCTCCAGCTCGCGCTCCATGCTCGCCGCCTCCCGCCTTCTGCGGCCGCTGCTGCCCTGCCTGGCCAGCTGCCTGCCTCGAGGGGGCAGCGGCGGCGGCGGCGGCGGAGACGGCGTCGGCAGCGGCGGCCGGGAGGACACGCCCCCGAGGGCTGCGCCCCGCCCGGCCCCCGGCCCGCGGGCCGGGATCGCCCAGCTCCAGCCGGCTGCTGGGCCGGAGCGGAGGCTCTCCCCCAGGCCTCTAATGGTGGCGCCTCCCGCAGTCCCTGCGGCAGACGCGGGGAAACTGAGCCGTTCATCCATCCATCCATCCATCCATCCAACATTTATTGAACACCTACTAGGTGTACAGGACCCGAAGGTAGAGGAAGACAGAAAATTATCATGTGAGCAAATGGACCTTCACAAGCTAGATTGGTCTGAGGCCTGGAGCAGATAGATTTCTGAGTTCTCATGGTTCGGGGACAGGAAGTTTTGGAGGCCGGGCTGCCGGTGACTGCTGCTTTGAAGTGAAGTTGGCGGGTGGGGCAGGGCACCAGATAAGGGGGTAGTGAGGTGAGAAAAGAAGGGAAGCAGGGGTCTCTTCTGTTACTTCTGTCCTTGACTCACCTTTTGGGTCTTCAGCATTTAGAAAACTAATTGAGGGCTCATTGTTTCAACAAGTCCTCGTGACCTGCAGGGCATTGTCCTCTGCACTGGGAAGTGGAGGCAGATCGTGTTGCTCCCTGTGGAACAGAAAGTCTAGGGGGGCAGATGTGGGGCACGGATGGTGTTCTGATCTATGTTTGCAGGAGGGGGACAAGAGGATGTCAGTAGGCCAGGTCAGAAGCAGGAATGCATTTCCTTTCATTCTAAGGGTCTAAGCCAGCTTCGTCCGATAGAACATTTGGTGGTGATGGAAGTGTTTTATATTATCTGCACTGTCCAATGCAGTAGCCACTAGCTGTATGTGGCTATTATGGAGCACTCGAAATCTGGCTAGTGCAAGATTTAGATTTTATTTCGTTTCAATTAAGTGTAAATAACCACTTGAAGTGAGTGGCTAGGGCATTGGGCAGCGCTGGTCAACGCTCTTTACCTCTCCTCTATTACTCGGTATAAACCAAAGGCCCCTTTGGGTCAATAACTTGTTAATACTCAGCTCTCTCCTTCACTGTATAACCCACAATCTGCTCTTGTAATTACTCTGTTTCCTGCCCCCTGTAATTATGTTGAAACATCTCCTCCTGGAGAGTTTGTATGTCCATTCAATAAAGCAAACCTTTTCTGAGCACCTCCTGTGTGCAAGCAGTGGGGATTCAAACATATCCAAGCAGCTCTGCCCTAAGTCTGATCATCCTACAGTGGTATAGCCAATGTTGGGGGGAAGGACCCCATATCTTTGTTGTGGGCTTTGTTGTGCCTCTCTATACCATCTCTGCCCATGATGGATATCCAGGGGCTTGGGTGGGAAAAACACAAGATATGGAGCAAGAAGCCCTGGGCTGGAGTCAGGTTGGGTTCCAGCACCAGCTCAGTGATTCAGTCAACCAATCTGTATTTATGGAACATCTCTACCATGCACTGTGCTGGTGCTGGGAAGACAGCTGTGAACAGGCCAGGTTCCTACCTTTGTGGAGCTGACGGTCTAGTGGACGCTGGGAGAGAAAGACGAGAAACAAGTAAATTCATAAATAACGGCTTCAGACAGTGATCGGTGCAATGAAAAAAATAATGCAGGGCTGACACTACGGTAATGTGCTTGAGATGCTGGCCCATTCCCGTGAATACAATCCTGAAGATGCCACGGAAGCAAGAAGGAGGTTGAAGAGGACTGAGAAACAAACCTAAAAACTATGAGACATGCCCTCCCCCACCCTACCTTCCTGGAGGCCGCAGGTGGTTGGGTTGTGGTGTGTGGGAGAGAAACAGAAGTCCTTTCCAGATGATCCTAATCTTCTAAAATTAAAACAATATGTGTGTGTGTGTCTGTGTCCAGAAGAATATATTCAAAAAGTAGTCATACTCATCTCTGGATAGTAAGAATGACAGGTAATTTTTATTTTGTCCTTTTTGCTTATCTGTATTTTCTAACTATATAAAATAAATGGGATACCTTTGTTATAAGAAAACAGTGAAAGCTATTAGTTTAATCAGATTTCTGGAAAGTATAAGCCAGTACAGATTTAATCAATAAATGAATTAAGATTCATTTCAGCTGCTAATGACACAGACTACAAATAACAGTGGCATAAACACAATGAAAGTTTATTTTTCTCTCTTGTAGAAGTTTGGAGGTGGACAGTTTATGGCTGATGTAGTAGCTCTGTTTTACTAGGTCTTTGAAGACTCAGGTTGCATTCCAGATCACTATTCCCCCATCTCTTCTTCATGATTCAAACTCGCAGCTAAAGCTCCAGTCATTACCTCTGTGTTCCAGGCAGCTGGATAGCAGAGGGCTGAGGAAGGAACAAAATTCAATCGACTTCAGATTTCTTTAATAGTAACGCTGGATTTAAGAAGATAGGGACTGTCCTGGCGGTGCAATGGTTAAGACCCTGCACTTCCGCTGCAGGGGGCACAGGTTCTATCCCTGGCTGGGGAGCTAGGATTCTACATGCTGTGTGGTGCAGCCAAAAAAAAAAAAAAAAAAGATAGTTGAATAATATTTTTAAAGTATCAAAGAGAAAGAACTTTGAAGCTAGATTTTGCTAAATTATCAGGCATATACAGGAGATAACGCCTTTATCACATACAGCCCCTCTTTGAAAGCACCGTTAGAGGAAACATTCCAACAAGAAGAGAAATAAATACAGGCGTGCTCAACAATAGGGAGTAAGAGGGATTAAATCACTTGTTTAAATTATTCTTGTCTAAGTAAACGGTGCAGTGTGGTGCCTGCAAAGCACAGCTTGGGTGGGCATAAGCTGGGAGGGCGGCAGAGTGGCTGGGAGCCCTACCAGGTAAGTGGAAAAGGGATTGGCCCCATTTGGTTACCTTTCTGAGGAAGAGAGGAAAACTTATCAGCTGATTAGAGAGGAAATCTCAGAGGTGCTGGTGTTTTTGTTTTGTGTTGTTTTGGCCACACTGCACGGCATGGGGGATCGAACCCGTGCCCTCTGCATTGGAAGTGCAGAGCCTTAACCACTGGACCACCAGGGAAGTCCCTGTGCTGGTGTTTTTGTACTTTCTCGTGAGGCTTGTCTAAAACCAACACGCTCTGCCTCTCCAGCTATTTATTCTCTGGCTCTAAATTTCCAGGTAACAATACCAAACTTTCCAGTGGTGGGTTGGAGGATAGATCAGACAGGGGGTGGGGCATTAAACAAAGGTCAGAGTCCAGGGCTAGTGAAGTTTATCTTTACCTGTATTATTTACATGGCAAATTAACACGAAATTACAAAGACCTTAGGAAAAAGGCAGGATGCCAAGGATATTTCTTCCCCCCCTCTGTCCAAGCCCTAAAAATCATAAAACAACCAGGCTTTTTCTTGTTTCTCTGGTTTATCGATGGAGATGTAAAGTGAAACTGGGATTTCTGAAACAGTTTGCTTCTTCATGTTCACTCAAGCAGAACTTGGGAGGAAGAGTGACAGAAAAGTGCTGATTTGGAAAACAAGGAGTAGTCTTGGTTGAGTTGCTGGTGCTTTCTTTCGCCTCTCTTCTCCCTCTCTTTCATCCTATTCTCCTTTTCTTCCTTCCCCTCCCCTCCCTTCCTTCCGCTCCCCCTTTCCCGTGTCCCCACCGTTTCTTTTTCTCCCTTATCATCACTCTTCCTTCCCTCTTTCTTTCCTCTCTTTTGTCCTTCCACACTCTCTTTTCTCCCCAAGACAATTGTTTTGGGAGCTGTGAGGAAGGTGGGACCTGGGGAGACTTTATGGGCTCCCTGGTGAGACAGATAGAGGAAAAAAGATCTTAAATGTGAGGAATACCATGGAGGGAAAGGAAATTGGGGGAGCCCCTGGACCACAGAGGAATGAGGTTGGGGTGGGAGGAGGCATGGGAGTACATTCAAAGCCTGGGTCCAACGAGGAACTGTGGGCCCCATGGTGGAGCAGCCCCCTCTGACAGGGACAGGGTAAAGGGACAAATTAGGTGATTAAATAGTTAATCCCACTAGGGGATTGTAAGTAAACAAAAAGTATGGGAGACCCCTGGAAGTTAATGATCACTCAAGAAAGAAGGTTTGCTTAACCACAAAACCAAGCAGGCCTGCTTAGCAAAAAAACTGTGCAACAGAAGCGTGAGACATGCCCCAAAACAATAAAACAATGGTGGCATGAGACCCACATCCTGCCCAGTGAGCTCAGTAAGTTAATGATCCCTAGGACATGTTCTCTGCACACATAAAAACACAATAATTTATGGAAAGGTGACATTTCAAAGTGAAAGACCCTCATTGTACTGAGACCTGAAACAGTTTTTTCATAGTGCCACGACAGTCCTGGCTTGACCATGTAGGGACAAGAGAACTCCCCTGCCCAACCTGGAGAAGGAGTTGATGATGGAAGTGTGATGTCTACTCAAGAATGAGGAAGAGGGGGGTCTTTTCCCCCTCCCCACTTTTCCTTTGATTATAAAACTGTAGCCCACTAAGTTCTTAGGGTGGCACCCTCTCACCCTCACAAGCATCCTATTGTAATAAGTCATTTCTTATCTGTTACTTTGCCTCTCACTGAATTCTTTCTCTGCTGAGACATAAAGGACCAGAGCTCCTTGGAGCCCCGCAAAGTACCACCTAGCCGTTTCACCTCTGTGTCCTGGCTGCTGGATGACAAGACAGGGCACCAGTGTGCTAGGACTTCATTTCCTCATTGCTGGGGAAGAAAAGGATTCCTTTCCTCCATTCTGGGTTCTTTGGCTGGTTCAGTAATTAAATCGACAGACAACAAATTAATAGGAGAAAAACAAATTTAATTATGTGCATACCGGAGCCCCACAAAGACAGGAGATGCAAAGGCAGTTGGGCGATGGAGGCTTACATGCCATCCTGGGCTGAGGAAAGGGTTAGGGGCCTGGGGCTCCAGAGGGGAGGAGGGCCATTCACAGGAAGATGAGAAGAGCAGGTGGTTGGCAACCAGATGTTTGCCCCGCCATGCAGGTAAGTCTTTCAGATTAGAAAAAAAGTTATCTCTGGTAATAGCTGTCTTTTTGGTACAGGCTTCCT